GCAGTGACGGAGCTCGGGCTTTAATAGGAAACCTTTCTGGTGTTATTTCTGAAATAAAGAAAGTTGCACCTGAAACTAAATTTGCTCACTGGTTTATTCATCGTAAAGCTTTAGTAGCTTTTAGAAATCGTTTTCAATCAAACTGTGAAAACTGTTAATTTTATCAAAAGCCGAATTTTAAATTCAAGAATATTTACGATTTTATGCCAAGAGATGGGCAGTGAACATGAAACACTTTTGTTGCATTTCGATTTGATGTGGCTATCCACAGGCAAAATTTTAAATCGTCTTTTTTAATTTCAATACGAATTCAAATTTTACTCTGTGTTTTAAAATTTGAGTTGCAAAATTGTTTATTTAGTGAATTATGATTGGCGCGTTTAGCATATTTAGCTGATTTTTTTCAAAAGTTAAATGAATTAAATTTAGGAATACAAGGACAAAGTGTTAAAATTTGGTTTTCATTAGATATAAAATAAATGCAATGATATAAAAACTCTAGCTAATAATCAAAGAATTGGATAATAATATTTTAAGCTTTTTACTACTTTTAGAAAGTAGTAAAACTGGAAATAATTTGAAAATAAAAGAAGTCTTAGCATCGAACCTTAAAAATTATTCTTTTTCATTCATAAATAATTTCAACATGTATTTTCCCGAGGATTATGAAAAAAAATTGCATTAGAAATCCATGTCATTTAAATGTACTTGAAATTTTATCTCGTGAAGAAAAAGAACAATTGTTAGAAATTTTCTGTGATCGAAATCTAACTGAAGATTTCAAAAATAACACACTTCTTAACTTTTGACTGAATCGAATAAACGAATTTAAAGGCATTTCAAATAAAGCTATTATAAATTTTTATTGGCTTTTTAGCGCAATCTGTTTGTGTGAAGAAGGATTTTTTCCCATGTTATATTTGAAAAATAACTACAGAACAAAATTTAAGGTGAATCCTTGCGGTTAAAATTAAGTGAAATAAAACAAGAAATTGATCTCTCTTAAACAGGCCCAAATTTCACACTAAATTTTAGAATTAAAGTATTATAACTTAATAATTAAAATGCTAACCAATTTTTAATCTAATATTTTTATGTGTGTGCATATTTAATACTATAAGCCAACAGGTTGTGCAATTGGCAAAAAGAATTGCTTTAACTATTTCTATTGAGAAATTGAAACATAAGCATTGTAAAATGTTATCGTGGTACTAAGTTTTTTAATTTATGCTTAGATGGTACACATTAGTCAGAACCGCTGCTCTATAGTATACGATAGACCAGCAACTTACACTGTTTTAAATAGTGCAGCTTAGATTGTACGCGTTTTGAAAGGAGTATTAGCAGTACTAGTGGGCGTACTGCTTTCTTCTAACTAGCTCATTAGATTTCTAAACTAACCCGTCAGATACATGTGATAAATACATTTAATTTTAGTTTTATAAAACTATGTTTTCAAGAAACTATATGAACTCTATACAGGTTGTGACAGAACTGGTAGTCATAATTTTAAAAGGTGACAAAATATTTTCATAATACAGTGCGTAGTGAAATGTAAAATGTGAACGTGGTATAAAGAATAAGAAAAACAAAAAAGACGTTTTGACCTCTGATATCTGCCAATAATATTCAACATTTGCAATAAATATTCATGAACCACAAAATCCAATGCTTACATCCCAACGTCAACGGAGTGATTGGCGTACACATTTTGAATATACCCGGCATGTCACACACTTTATTCATATAAATTATTTCATATACTTTGTATTTAGTTACCGATCATATATTGTATTATAAAAATGTTTACTTTACTAAAATGGTTCAATAATCCTTTAAAGATGTGAGCAGGTTCCTTGTTGTACTTTGTATATTTGTATTTCATATGCATGACACAGAAACAGTTTTAGCAGGTTACGCAGAAAATTTCAAATGCTTTATAAACTTTAGATTGGACTGGATTACGACAAAGCACGCGAGGGCCATCTGTCCAAAGAAAAGAATGCCTTTGTACAGGATTTTTGAATGTGGCTCGTAATCGGATTAAACATGAGGAAAACAACGGAACCTTCCATTCAGCAGTCCTTTCGCCAGGATTTGATACCAGATTGAAAATAATAACTGTGGCTAATTTTTATGTGTCGTCTGGTTATTTATCTGGAAATTCAATTGAATTTTACTCACCAGAAAATGTATACTGATCACTGAAAATCAAATCATGTTCTAAATATTGCGGTAGCAGCTGTAGAAGTTTGAATCCATTAATTTAAGGTCCACAAGCGGCTGAGCGGTAAAATCGCTGAATACTGATAGTTCCGACTTAAGTTCGATTCCAGGCGAACGGGCCAGCTGCACGGGTCTTTCGCGGTTTTTCCCATGTGTAACGTCTATACAACCCAATTTCCCCTAGAACGTCCTCCATGAAGGCATCCCTCCCCTTAGGCAGATAGCCCTAATGTGCTTTGCCGGAGTCAACTGAACTAGTTATTAACTTCTTTCTCTAACTTTTTTCCACACCGAATGAATTTTATTTTCCGAACAACTTGTATACAAAATAACACAAGACAGATAACTAATCAGTATTGATTCGGGACGAACTCATTGTAAATAGCTCAGAATTCAAGACTTATCAATAAAATAGTCACTATATACAATTTTGGACGAGGATTTCAGATTTCTAAAAAAACATTAAACACTTTTTAATTGAAGAATTTTAAAATTGTTCCCATTATCATCATTTACGGGAGCATCAAAAATTACATACCTTACGAGAACTGATTAAAAATAATATAGAAATAAACAACAGCAACAGTTAGAATTGAAAATTTATCAAATGGTACCAGACATCGCAGACATTTATTATTACTATAATAATAATTTGGCCTTTTAATACACAAGTTAATTCATTTGTATAACTAACCTATATATTTCTGTTACGGATTGGCTGCTCGTGAGAGGTACTGATCACTTATTAAAATTTAATAAATGTGTTTATTGCGATGATGGCACATTCAATTGAAAAAAACATTCGATTTCAAAAGTTGAATGTTAGCGGTTATTTTAGTCATTTGAATCTTATCTCCCAAAATTGCCCCAAATAAACTTTAAAATATTTCATATAAATTCAATTAAAATTCATAATTCGAAATATATAAATTCAAAATTTTGGAAATGTTTACATACGGCTAAAAGAGACGAATTGATTAAATGAAACAACGCGACTGTTGTAAATCCAGTGGTATCTAAAGCAACAATAAAACCTTCTTGAGGCCATATTGTTTTTATGTGCCAGAATTGTTATGTAATCGCTGGGCTGCGCTTTCTAGACAATCGTCGAAACTAATTCTCGGATCGTTTCGGTAATTATATAGATAGATTTATTAATAGATCTCGAATGTTTATAACAACTGATGGCATCTTATTTAAATACTTTATTGCTCGCGACTATTTTTCTACTTTGGGTTTGAATTTAGAGCTGATAATTTAAAGCTCAACTGCTATTTATTTTTATGAAATATCAAGGAAATGAATTTAACACGTGTTTTAATGTATGTGCTTCATTTACTAAATTTTGATTAATTTTCTTAATAAATATAGGTGCAATTTTTCACTTTAGACATGGAGAGAACCACGAAACGTTCCGTGGAGGAAGCCCATTTACAGAGATTAACCCCCCCCCTCTAAAATAAACTTCCCTGTATTAAAGTAATACGTGAAAAAAGCTACAATATATTACGTGCAGTGCCATTTGGTTGCCAGGGCTTTCTCCCAATCAAATTCACAGTGCAATAGGATTTTTTTTTTAAAATTCTATAGAAAAATAAGACTAAATTCATGTGAAGTGCGTAATAAATTACGTACATGAGTCTTGAATTAAGCGGTTTTATTTTTAATAAGACAGAGGGATGTGACTCAGGTGAATGTGTAATATGCAGAACTGAAATGTCTTGAATTATATGTGTTGAAACTGAATATATGTGTGTGTACTGAAATATGTGTTGAAATACGTGCTGAAATATGTGTTGAAATATGTGTTGTGACAATTTCTTGGCCCTTCGGTCGGTGAAGTGACTAAAAGTTACAATTTTATTTATTGCTTTCTCAGTACGTTTGTTTTGTTGTTTAATTAAATGAATAAAATTCCTTATTCACTCAGAAAATGCCATTCAATGTGTAGTTTATTTGTCTTCAATTAAATTCACAACACCAACAGCCCAGAGCAGCTTATGCGCTTTTTCCTGCTGCTAAACTCTTCGCTGCCATTAGGAGTAAACAAGGAGCCTATTAGGAGTAAACTATACGATTTTATATAGAAATGTTTTGAACCCGGACTAGATGCATTACGTCTACCCCCATAAAAAAGATAACCGCAATGCAAAATTCTGTGCTACACCGAATCGACGCCTAAAAGTCTTTCGAGCACCTTCAAAATATTCAAGTGTTAAAATTTGAAAACATGCGTCGTCATCAGAAGTTCTACTGAATGCAAATTTACTTATATTAAACTTTTGCTCACAATCCACCGATTCTGCCTTGAGGTCATGTGATACTGCATGTTGTTCATGACCCAGTTCAACAATGTTAAAATTCTGGGAGGATTGAAATTTTGTAAATTGCACATATTCCGTCTTTATTCTAAGAGTCAAATAGAGGACTATTCATTAGATATTACTTAAGTAGAACAGGTGCATTCAGTATTAATTCGTTAATAGTTTAAGAACTTCCAAACAATATATTTTTTTCGTTAATACCATTTAAGAAGCATTGAATCACAACCGATATATGTAATTAGGCAATAAGTACCTGTCGTCATTGTTAACTCATATAAACGCCGCTTTACAGATTTGTTCCTTGTTTAATACCAATCAGAATAGGGTAAATAATTATCTGTAATTTAAACTTCACAAGTGTTTTAATTGAAAATGTATGCACAGTCATTGAGAACAGGAGTCGATAGTTTGTGTAATGCGACATAGTACATACTAAGATAAAAACAGAGATATTTTACATTCTTTATTAATGCAATAATGTAAAAATTTACAGTATGCAAAACGAAATGAAAAACAAATCAAATTTTGGCTGGTGAATTTATTTTGCACCTTTCAATGCACAAGAAAAAATATTAATACTAACGAAAGCTGTGTTTCAATCAACATAAAATGTAACAACATTTAGAAAATTGTAATTGCATAATTAACATTTGTAAAATATGAACAAAAAACGAACAAAGACTGCACAATACATCTCCTTCGAAAAAAGAATGAAAAGAGATACAATACTAAAAAATTGCATGTACCTGTTATTACTCGTAAATGAGAATAAGATTGGAAAGCTTTTTCTTTCCATCGTCGTCTGTTTGAAATATACAGCTTTGATTTTTTTTTATTGACATTGGGGGATTGGGGGGGGGAAGAATGATGCTTTCCTTCCTTCCTAGCATATATTTAAGACAAACCTGTACTGAACTGGAGAAGAAAGTTTGGAGGTCTAATTTTTAAGTAATATTTACATATGAACAATGTTAAGACAACTGCCAAAAAATTAAGAAAATTTAAGATTGTGCGCTTTAATTCTCTTTAGGGAAGATTGTATTAGTTTTGACTATTAAACTACTTAACCTGAAAATTCGATACTTATCTCATCCTTAGATTAAAATATAACTTCAGAAGATATTAAAAACATTGTAATTTAAAACATTCTAGTATAACAGAAGATTTGAGGTCATAAATTCTGTAAAAAGGTGAAATAAGTATCACATAAACCGAGCACCAATAAATCCCTGAATAATTTGACTTCATTAACTGATAAATGAAATAATTCATGCTGATTAGTATTCATTGCGGCAGGAGCTTATTACGCATTGGTTTTTCATAATCATTTTAACAATGTATGTAAATCATTTTAATAAAGTACTCAAGTACTGTGACAGTATTTACTTTTTATTGTTGAAGCTGAAGAGCCGAAAAGGAATTCTTTTACCACATGTACACAACAATGATACAAGCTCTGTCATTAACTATCAGTTTATTTAAGAGTTTCACAGAAATCTAATTTCAAATATTAGTACGTATTTTACTAGAGATTGATTTTGAGGTTGTTTGGTTTTTATTGCTCAGTGTTATATACTACCCGTAATACAATCGCAATATACTTATATATGAACAAAAACTACGCATAAGTTCATTTATTGCCGTATAAATGCATTTTGCTTTAAGAGATCTTTGATTTGGGGAAAAAAGGTGATAATTTGGAGGCACTATAATCTGTTATCTTTTGATTTAGGAATGACTTCAATTTTTTTCCAAAACGTCACTCTGATATTATTGAAAATTTTATTTACAGTCAAATTCCTTTATTAAATTGGAAACTGACGTAATTTTTAACAGTTGTCTGCAACGAATTACGTTTTAGAAAAATATATTTTCTTTTCGTGCTTTGACACTTCCCACAGTTAATAATTGTGGAATCTCATGGGCACTTTTCAGGTTATATCTCATTTATGCACGCAAAATTTAAGCGTTACAGAGTATCCTGCTACTACAAATGGCAAATATATACAATGCAATAGAAATTTTTGTTTTGGAGCACTTGATGAAAACTCAGATTTAAGGAATTTATCTTCAGCCTAGAATAAGGAGAACTTTTTGCAAAATTACGGAGCAAATAAAGAAATATTTTGAAAATTTACTCACAAAGTAATTTAGTTCATATGGAATACATTAATAAGGTAAGAGAAGAATTTATAACTCAACTGAGTATATACAATCGAAAAACAAATCACTGGCTAAAATACTTAGAAGTGCTTCTATGCCAAAAAATAAGTCTAAATATATTTTCAAATATTTTATTCCAATAGCTATTTTAGGCGAATTTGATTATCACGGATTGACACAACTACCATTGCAAAAATGACTAAAACGTTTTCTTCAGAATCACAAAAAGGTGCAACAGAACCTTCCAGAATCATAAATTACATTTTGATAAATACATTTACAATACATAAACATTTCTCCTCTCAGAACATTTATTATTTACATTTTATGCAATCAAGAAACAGTTCCTTGGATACTGTTCACATGCACAAGTCGAAACTTTCAAAATAATTTATACTTTGAAATCACACTTTACCTTATATTGATAGCAAAAATTTTTATATACATATAACAAGTTTTAACAAGATAAAAGTTGTTAATACATCTAATGAAACACATCCTGAGAATTTTTACAGGTATTTCTAATTTTTAACATAGCAGATATATAACAAATTAAAGTATTGCATAATCATAATTTATTTAGTTTGCCACTGAACTATGCAAATGCACCTGCGATTTCTAAAACATTCATTTAAAACCCATGTGCGCTTTAAAACAATGAAATTTTTGAGAGATGGAAAAAATTTTAAGTATTTCAAGAACATTTCAAAATTTTTTAATTAAAAAATAACGTATAATTTAAAATTATGAAATGAGTACCACAAAAGTAACGCTTTCAATCAACAAAGAAAATATCCAGTCTGCACTTCCACATGTCCACCATCATTAGGAATGCTGAACGTGAAGTGCAAGTTTTTGAAACTTTTTCAAATCGTAATATAGCTGATTTACAAATATCGAAACGATTACGTAAATGACTTTAATGCAAAGACAATCTAATGTAAAAGAAGAAAACACACCGCTTTTACTTAGACGTGTTTTAAAGCGCGCATAAGCTTTGCATTCTTCCCTTTATGAACTTAACACGCTCCGTGACGTATTCGTCGCTCTGAAATTTTCATTCATGTTCACCGATAGTTTAGTCTCCAATAGAAAGAAAAGGCTGCTTTACCAAGGACATATTTTACTTCTGGTTATAAATAAAGTAATAGAAAATTCTGGCATCCTCCAAAACTCTTGTATCCTTTGCTCATACACCTCTGAAAGGTTTGTAAGCAAACAAATAGTGACTTCTGGAGGAAAACTCATCTATATGTATGTAATGATTTTAATAAAAGTTTTGATTGTCTTTAGCTTGCAACAACCATTTTTATAAAAATTATTTTCCAACCCTCAGAAAGATGCAGGAATAAATAATTTTAATAAATGTAGTTAACTACGAGTATTATTTTTGCTGCAGTCGGTGTGAATGAAAATTGGAGCAAAACATAACACGGCAGGGAATAGAATTTGTTAAAAATATTCAAACCATCAATGTATGCATATTTTTCAAAAACGCCAATGTAATACGAGTTCAGACTTTTTACATACTTAAGTGATATTTAAACTTAAATTTTCTCGTATTTAATAAATCGAGATTTAATTTAATCTAAACCCATATAGTTATACGCACTTTTTAATTTAATATGTTTATACATAACTGCTTAACCCTTACAATCATGCGCATACACACTTAATAAAAATACAATACAAGCCTTTAAAAGTATAAATATTGACAAATACTCAGTTCATCGACATTCAAACACATATTGCAAAAATTTTCTCAACAGAAATTTCAATATTTTTATATATAATTTTAAATTCATTAAGCATTCTATAACGTAGCTGACTTCATTATCTCTGCGACTTGCGCTGAGACACATATAATCACTATGTTGAGAATAACAGTTATTGAGACTAAAAGTCATTACGTACTTTCCCTTTGTCAGCGTTGAGAGAAGGCAAGCTAAAACCACTTTTCTCAGACTTGAGAAATTTTGTTAAGCTGTTTCAGTCATTTGATAGTTTGTAGGGAAATCCAAGTCAATGACTTTCTCTGTTTAAATATATAAATGAAGAACGCCGCAACCAGTTGCGGAAGTACCTCTGGTTTTGTCCATCAAAATTAGTTACTTTGCTCCAGCCTGAAGGTCAAAGCCTACCAATGGCGATATGAAGAACTAAATGAGGAAAGATGCATGTAGCAATCATTCGCTTGGGTTGCCATCCGACTAGAAAAAAGCTGAATGAATTGCTGTTTCAGAGAAAACCGGAATGAACTGTTGTTTAAGAGAAAACCGGAATGAACTGTTAAATATTCCTTCTGCAGATATTCAAAAAGCAGCTTGTTTGTTAAAGCTTTCATTTCTTCCAAGTAATGATTATTAGATTAGATAAGAAGTTTGAAAATTTCTTATGTTCCACTAAACTTCAACTGGATCTTTGCTTGAAGCGAAGTCGGATGGGCTCATCAGGAGCCGTGATCAGCCTCATCGAGATACCTACATCACGCTCGTTGGCCGACTCCAAATGAAATCTCTGAATGGCCTAAAAAAGGAAAGAATTCATCAAGTTTTTGAGTACGTGTAAAGCTAAAATCATAAAAGTCTGGAGAAGATTAACTTATGAATTAGTATATTTATGATTAAATTATCTTGCGTATCTTTATTAATAGTAATAAATTTGATTTAAAACTATATAGAAGGTTAATTTGCAACTCTACACAGGCAATTTACTCGAAATGCGAAGCGACTGAAAATTAACTTCTTGAATTTATAGAAAATTAATTTTCTAACTTACCCTAGCTAAGAGTAGACGCATCTTGAGTTCGGCCACTCTTCTCCCAATGCAAGATCTTGCCCCAATTCCGAAAGGCATGCAACCGTTTGACATTGGCCGACGATCCTTCGAAGACCTGTCCCACCTTTCAGGCTTGAAGCTGTCAGGATTTTCAAACTCTTCAGGATTTCTTCCTATAGTGTACTGCGACATTACGAATAATTTCTAGAAAAAAATTAATTTTTATAATTTACAAGCTTCTTAATAAGATATTTTTACAGTCAAATATTTAAGTTCTTGAATTCTGAATTCAAAATTTAGCCCTCTTTTAAATGGGTGCATTGTTAATGTGTCGATAGAATAAAATCGTACGAGGAAAACATTGCAACACTGCATGCTATACATAGTTTAGTTATATCCTATCAGTTAAGCATGTAGCAATATTCAAATTCTGATGCCCAAGAAGACAGTTTTCATAGTTTCCATCACGTGTGACATGAGTGAATTTTCCTTAGAAATCCGACAGTAAAGGCCTTTAAATATAAAAGGTAGAAAATCTCTGTATACTTTTACATGACTTCCAAATAAACTATTTTTAAGAAATAGTAACGAACGGGCCTCCATTTCAAGCTTTCAGATCCTTTAAGAGTCTTTTCATGATTTGTTAAAAATCGCAAACTTTTATTTTAACAACTGGATAAAGGGTTTAGTTTTCCTACAGATGGAGTCTAGAAACTCAATAAATTATTTTTAGAATAATTTGTCATGGATTCAAACATACATTTCGCCCAGTTTGAGAAATATGCATTTTTTTTCAGTTATAATGATGCATCAGTAACTTAAACACTGTAATAACGCACAGATCTTTCTCCCAAATTTGTTATTTAAATTAAAGATTACGCGAAAACTTACCCCTGCAGGAATCTCGTAATCTCCTAACACAATTTTCTCTGGCAAAACTCGTGTTAGAAACGAAGCAATTGGATATAACCTATAGAGAGAAAAAAAATTTTATGTCAAAAGAATACATGAAGCTAGCAAACATTTCAGAAGCGTATATATACGCAATATTGTATAAAACTATTCTCGTATACTGGTGTGGAACATTACGTCACTACTGTACTTTCTTTCCTTTCTAGTGTGTGTGTGTGTGTGTGTGTGTGTGTTGATTATGGCAAAGCCTCGAGGGCTATCTGCCTAACAGGAGGGATGCCTTCGTGGAGGACTTTCTAAGGGAAACTGGCTCGTATACACGTTACACATGGGGAAAACCACGAAAACGCCCATGCAACCAGCCCGTTCGCGGGATTCGAACCTCGGACCGAACTACCAGTGTTCAGCGACTTTACCGCTCGGCCGCTGGTTGGCCTCTTTCCTTTCTAGAAAATATTTCAAATTTTTATGTCGAATATTTCGGATGTTTAGATGACTTATTTTAACTAAGGACTTAATGATGGTGAATTAATCAGATTAACGAAAATACTTTGGGGAAGAGATTTCAGTTTACATGATAAAGATTTTAAACTATAAAAACTAGTTCTTGAAGAAACATATGGTGATAAATTCATAAACTGCAATCAATTATCCAAGCATTTCGGGGTTTTTAGCCCAATGGAGCGTTAGCTTAGAAGGGCAATTAATTTCGTTTTCGCATTTTGCGTCGATTCGCTGTAAATGTTCGTATCACTTTTCGAACTGTTGCCAGCCACCAAATATTATCGCCCTTTGCCACATTCAAAGAAATCTTAATAATGAAGAATCTGCATAAATGCATGTATGTTTCTCGCACTGCGATAAAACAACGGTACCTAGAGCCGTAAAATTTTGAATAACTTAATCCTCCTCCTCCTAACATGGGCATCTGGAAGCCCAAAGCTGGAATTTGTTTTATTATCGATTTCATATTTTGTAACACTTTAATGAATTTTTAAGAAACTCAACGATTTCAAAGAGCAATGGCAACACTGTTCGTTCGAAAAAAAAAAAAAAAATCTACTGCGCGAGACTATATAGGAAATTCTAGAGATATACTTTTTTGAAATGTTCTGTGATACTGATGTTTAATTGAATTTTATGATTTGAATGCGAAGAACATGATACTTAATAAAGGCAACACAGAAAACGCTAAAAACCGCACCTTTGGGCGTAATGTAAAATCTGAAAGCTTTATTTTTTTTAGCTTAGTCACTACTGTGTTATGGGGTAGTAGTTAAATTCTGCTTCAGTTGGTTTATCGAAGCATTGGGTTAAAAATATTCCAGATGCCAACTATTATGTTGTAACGTATTTGCGTAAGCTAAACTAAACTAGCATAAAATATACGCAAATTTCATCGAAGGCAAACTTGATATCCCAAAATATTTTTTCTCGTACTTTATATAGCTTATTGGGTACTTGACGTATTATCCCGATGACAGTTGGTGGAAATTTTGGCAATGGTCTTCAATCGGTGCTGCGGAATTCTAAAAGGCAGGATCAAGGCTATTGGCGCTGAACAGCGTTACTTGGCCGGTCATTGGGGCAATACGTAAGTACCGGTCATTGTTTTGCAGTGACGTTCATATTTAAAAATTAGCCTTGTATCTCTAATTTGAAAGTTATCAAAACTGGAATCTACGCTTACTGCACGTTTTAGAAGAATTATCGGAACAAGTTCAACCCACATTACAGTGGGACTAAATTGTATTTACAAATTATTTCACTTCACAAAAATGTCTTACCTTAAAGTTTCTTTTATGATCCACATAGCATAAGGGATCTTTTCTAAGTGATTCATGGTAATAATTTGTCCATCAGGAACGACGGCTTTAATTTGTGAAAAAAATCTCTCTTGGCACTCGGGGTTTTTGGCAAGGGAGTACAGAGCCCACTGCGTCGCGTGAGATGTCTGGAATGATAAATAAATAGGCATTCAATATAGGTAAGAGAATAAAAATACGTTTAGACACAGCGCAACTTTTTCCAAGCCCATTAAAAATCCCTGACCAGATTTCAAATGAGGCTTATTCTGCACTTGTCAACCATGTATATAAAACTGATATACTACATCAAATGCAGAGCAAACAACTTAAAGCGAAAAAACCGTTCGCTCTTTCGCTTTATGCCATCAAAATGCTGTTTTTTTCCAACGACGTGTTTTTCCTGTAGTGAATCAATCGCAGTAGATTCCACGAGTTAATTTCCACAACTGGCAGCTTAGGTAACCGTATGCGATTCGTTCCTTTCGATTACGTTTAGGATGTCCTGTTGCTCTTTACCGAATGTGTACGTAAATGTATATGCTTTAGAAACTCTTGCTGTGTAGGTGATTTGAAACCATACGCCAGAGAAAGGTCAACAAATATATACATAGGATTACTGTATTTTGACTGTGTAAATAAAAGATTGCATAAAATATTCCTAGATAAACTGAGACAGTTTCCCTTTAATTCCTTCTACTGCTCATTTCTCAGTGCTCATAAGCTTTAGAAATAAAATCATTTGAAATCAAGTCAAGCCTACTGAATTATCAAACATTCCACAAACTTTTCAAGGCATTTTATAATACTGGTATAGATCAGAAAAAAATAACCGTTCGCCATTTTACGACCCTTGGCGCAAATTTTCTTATTTGTCCATTCTCCGATGCTTAAGAGAGTCTCCTTAAAACATTTAGATAGAAGTCGCTAATGTATACTATTTTTCGAAAATGACTCAAGAAAACAGTTAAACAACTAATTTAACTATCCTAAAATAAATATTGATTTTCGATTAATCTTAAATATTTTTTCCTTCAAAAAGGGGCTAAAAATGTGTATTGGAAAAGTCTTACTTACCGTATCTGCCGCAGCTAATATAAGATCGGCGACGATGTTGACCGTTTCGTCTCGGCTTACATCTTTACACTGAAGAAGCTGACTAAGGACTCCAGGTACTTCTTCGCCTGCAGCTTGCAAATTTTTTATCTCACTGATTCTTTCTTCGGTATATTCTCGTGCTATAAGAAATAAACATTCTAGTATTGCTGTTCGTATATAATATATATCTTTCACATTAATACAAATTAGTAAAAAGGGCAATTGATGTGCGACTTAAAAAATATTCTCACAATAATTGTAGCTTATTTGTCAATGGATGTAGTTACTTAAAACAGTCACGATCAAGAAATATGCAATTAGTTCAAGTATGAATTAAAATTCTGTATAAAGGCCCACATTTCGCACAGTAAAAATAAGCTTATTTTGCTGAGTTATTTGGGGAATTTCAGCAGGGCTCAGCATATGTACTGAATTTTTATCGGATTACTGCAAAGCACACTAGGGCTAGTTGCTTAAAGCGTGTGAGTGCGTGATTATGGCAAAGCCTCGAGGGCTATCTGCCTAAAGGGAGGGATGCCTTCGAGGAGGACTTTCTAAGGGAAACTGGCTCGTATACACGTTACACATGGGGAAAACCACGAAAACTCCTATGCAGGCAGCCCGTTCGCGCGATTAGAACCTCGGACCGAACTACCAGTGTTCAGCGACTTTACCGCTCGGCCGCTGGTGGGCCCTAGTTGTTTAAAGAAAGGGATGCCTTCATGGAGGCTTCTTATGGAAACAGTCTTGTACTCGAGATATCCATGGACAAAGCTGTAGAAACCTTATGCAACCATCTCATTCGCCGAGAACCAAAATTCAGAGCGAATTACCATGGTTTAGCAGTCTTATTAAATAATTAATTATTAGCCATAAAACGGTAACCTAACTTTGATTCCACTCGGTTTCTTTTCATGCACAGTACAAGATGACTCTTGCTTTCAACTAAAATTACTAAAATGTGTTACTTACCCATTCGCAGGGCATGATCCGCAGCATTTACGAATCGTCTCCAAACAGGCAACTTCAAAGCAGATGCTAGTTTCGGCGGGATGACGGACAACTTGGCAGACTCTGTGAATATTTGTTGTACATAGTATACAAATTCATGCATCTGATTCTTGTATTGAGGTGGTAAAACACATCCCAAACGACGTCCGAAAACCATGGTTCCCAGAGCTGTAAAGAAATTCAAAAATAAGGTTTATTTAGTATAGTTCTTCTCTTGTGTAATTAGTTTATTAAAAATAGCAAAATTTTTATGATTGCAGATATTGATTAGTGCAAATATCCCGAGATTAATACATAAATAAACTGTTTTAGAGCATTTTTCAACTACTACATATTCCTTTATTCGTAGAAATTGGAAATTGTTTCACTTTATGGTTAAAAAAAATCTGAAAATATTCAGATTTTAACGATCACCGAAAAGGATTCGTTTATATCTTTTAAGCTCTCGCCGAGCTCGCAGTCTACCAAGCATGCTGTACCCACTCTTGCTAGCTGTATTAAGCACCGTTTTCTTTGCACTTATGCCATATAAGACTCAAAATCACAAACATTTTAAAAGCAGCGTACCATCGTATGTTTGGAATTCCCAATGCAGTGTTAAGTGCTGGCATACGTTTGTCTATTTTTTCCCAGTCTTTTTTTAGTTTATCACATCTGTGTTCAGTTTTCTTCGTAAGACGGCTTACAAAACGTTTTAGCCCAAAAGGGCGTTTACCTAAATGGGCTACCCGAAACTAGATTTTGCATAGTCCACTTAAACGGCGAATCACTTTTCAAATTGTAGCCACCAAATATTATCGCTCTGTACGACTTCTAGAGAAATTAAATTTTGAAGTATGCACGTATATATGCATGTTCCTCGCACTGTGAAAAGACGGTATCTAGGGCAATTTAATTTTAAATAATGTAGTCCTCCACCCGAAAATGGGCACCTGGAAGCCCAGATTTGAATTTCGAATTTCTTTGATTATTTATTTCATATTTCTTAAAACTAATGAATTTTTGGCTAACAAACTCAATGATTTCAAAGCTAGCAGTACCAACACTATGGAATAAAACATTTTTATCGCCAGCGCACGAGGCTGTCTATCAGAAATTCAAAAGATATTTTGTTTTTTAATATTTTGCTGTTGAATTGTATGTGGGGTAAGTGCGAAGAACACTAATAAATTTAACACACAAAACGTTAATAAAGACGAAAAGTTTAGCCAAGCCAGCTTATTAAGAAACTGAACATTGATATGACGAACTGAGAAAAAGACTGTGTGGTGATCCACGGTTTGAAAATGGTTTCTGAATCAGAAGAGATTCGTGCACTAACCTAGTGCTTCGCATTAGAGAGTAAAGAACATCTATGATATAAAAATATACTTTTATTTACACAGCGAAAACGCGCAGCAACATTATTAACGAAAGCTCATTCTCCTAAAAACATACTTCTTTTTTCACTCCACTTGCGCATGCGCATTGACAATTACCAAAGGAGCTTGGCAGATACTGCCATCTGTTGGATAAACTATTCGCTACATATTCCTCCCACCTGAATTTACTGGGAGGTAAATTCACACATCTGTTAAGTATAATATATGCATAATAGTACAGTATACAATATTGAAGTATAAAATTATGCCTACCAAGATGTTCTAATTAAATTGAAATACAAATTTACCTGGAGATGCAGCATTCCATAATTTTCTAGACATATTAACAGATAATACTAAACCTAGAAAAATAAAAATAAATCAAATTATTACAAAGTATTCAAACAAGTACAAAACATTTCACAGACGTATCACTGGTTTCACAGTTCTACCACTGCTGGTAGTCATAGGAATATTTTCAGTCATATCCTTTTGGACTGGGTTATCCAGCTCAAGTCTGTACAGTCTTTGCACTGGTCTCAGAAACTCAGAAGTCTCTGTTTTTATGACAGCAAGTCTTATTTGTCCATCACGACCAGGTAGCAGCTTTATGACACGCGCCAGGTTCCAAAAAGCACGTTTTTTTTTGTTGTTATCTTCAAGTAGAACAATTTCACCCACCTGGAGAGGTTTAGCTATAGAGTTTTTAATGGACTGCTGACGTAACTGTCCTAGATATTCCACACGGAATCTTGCTCTAAGTTGTTCTCTCACCTTTTGTAGATACTTAGCTCGTTTACTCAGTTTTTCCTTATCCACTGTATCGATATCAGGTACTCCTGATTTGGAAATCTCCCGCAGGAACATTTCTGGAGTTAATGGGGATGAATCTTCAACGTCTTCCGACACGTAGGTAAGTGGCCTAGTATTGATTACTCTCTCACAGTCGCATAGTACTGTAAGCAACTCCTCGTAATCCAGGGCAGCACGACCTAGAACTTTTCTCAGAATCTGTTTCACCATTTGAACTAAACGTTCCCACCAACCGCCCCACCAAGGTGCGGAAGGAGGAATAAATTTCCACTGAATTCTTTGCTCAGCGGCTTTGATCGCAGACTCTCCCAATCAATTGTATGCAGAAGGCTCTCCGCTCCTTTAAAATTACTGCCATTGTCTGAGTATATTATAGATGGTCTTCCGCGACGAGAAATGAAACGTCTCAATGACTGGAAAAAAGCTTCAGTTGTCAAGGATGTTACTGACTCCAGATGAATGGCCCTATAGACCGCACATGTGTAAAGAACAATATAAGCTTTTCGACCATCTTTAAGGTAGAGGGGTCCTGCCAGATCGACACCCACTATCTCAAAAACATTTGCATCACGTACTCTATCTTTCGGCAAAATTCCTGGAGTTACATCACAACTTTTGGATTTAAATCTTTGACATTTAACACATTTTCTAATGCAGTTTCGTACTGTCTTACGAGTTTTGAGGATCCAATACTTTTCCCGCAAATGAGACATCACCATAGAAGTACCAGCATGCAGCAGCTCATTATGTGCATTCATTATTAGTAATTTTACTACTGCATGATCAGATGGCAAAATGACAGGAAACTTAAAGTCATCAGTATCGTCGCGATAAGAAATATTGGTTTTAGCTCTGATCAAACCATCACGATCAACTATAGGTCTGAGGTCTTTAATTTTATCATCGTTCACACTCTTAAATGATTCTCTTTGAACCAATAACATAAGAGTTATCTCAGCTCTTTCAATTTCCGAAACTGACAAAATTTTGGAGGTTTCGTTTGTAATTCTTCGTAATTTAAAGTAAAACCTAAGAATCCAACCTAACATGCGTACAATTTTCTTTATGGATGAAAAGTACCTGTAATACCAATTGTCAGGTTTAGAATCTTTGTTAAGAGTTGTCAATACTGATTTACGCCTTTCTGAATTTATGATCTCTTCGTCCGGCAAATCGGTGCCTCTTGACCATGACGATTCTGGTTCTAACAGCCATGATGGGCCCTCCCACCATTTCGACAGCAAAAACTGTTTAACTGAACAGCCTCTAGAAGGGAGATCGGCGGCATTCAGCTCCGAAGGGATGTAATGCCAATCTTCTATTTTTGTAAGTGTTCTGATTTCTTGGACACGATTCCAAACGAAAGTTCCCCACCGTACGTCTCGCTGGATCCAGCACAAAGCGGTTGTTGAGTCAGTCCAGAAGAATGTTCTTAAATTTGGCATGTTCAAATCTGAAAAGACCATACGTCCCAAGCGTGCTCCGATTAAGCAGGATAATAATTCCAAACGAGGAATGGATATACTCTTTAAAGGCTTAACTCTAGTGCGTGCTTGCACAAAATTTAAATAAACCTTATTTTCGGTCTTCACTCTTAAGAAAATACAGGTAGCATAGGCATGCTTGCTGGCATCGCTGAAAACATGAAGACTTACATCTTCGTTAACCGATCTGTCAATATTAAGCCATCTAGGAATTTTGACATCAGACAGCAGTTTCATTTCCTTTACCCATTGTATGGACTTCTTTTCTAAATGTTCTGGCAATTTTTGATCCCAATTTAATCGTAATTTCCAACACTCTTGCAATATCACCTTTGGGAACAGGGTAACGGGAGAAAGGAAGCCTACTGGGTCAAATAACTTATGCGCGCAAGAAAGGAGTGTTCGTTTACTCGCGACAATCTCCTCTTTCTTTAGTGACTCAATTTTACAGGAAAGAGTATCATCCTTCAAATCCCAGTTTAACCCTAAAACGCAAACGAATGTATCTAATTTAGAGTTGGGAATTATTTCGGTTTCACAATTCGACTGCCATCCTCTAAGATTAAACTTTCCCAGTGACAATAACATTCTCGATTCTAGTACAAATCTATTCAATTCTTCAACATTCTTAAAACTAGTCAGGCAATTATCAACATAGAAGGACTCCTTCAAAATGTTGGCTGTAACTGCAAACTGATCTGGGGCACGATTTAAATGATAGTTCAACGTAGCGGCTAACAAAAATGGACTACAGTTAAGCCCAAAAACCACGCGACAATGTCTGTAAATTTTAGTATTCTCTTCTTCTGCACCTTTCCAAAAGAAACGCAAATAATCTCTATCCTTCTCTCTTATACCAATCTGCAAGAAAGCTTTCTCAATGTCTGAAATTACTGCAAGAGGATATTTCCGAAAACGATTCAACAATGTTGGAATTATTTCTATTAGGTTGGGACCTTTCTCAAGACAATCATTTAAGGAAAGTTCTCCTTTGGCGTGTGCCGAAGCATCAAAAACTGGCCTTACTCGCGTAGTTTCACTAGATTCTTTAAAAACCGGCCTATGAGGCAAATAGTGCTCTCTATCTACTTCGCCTTCATTTACCTCTTCAATAATTCGTTCCTTCAACCAAGTATCAAATACTTCCTGATAAACTTTAATTTGATTCGAATCTAATAATTTCCTTCGCGTATTAGTCAGGCGTTTTTCTGCCAACGTTTTATTATTAGACAAGCGAGAGGGGTCCAGTACCCAAGGTAATGCAGTTTCATATCTCCCGTCTGAATCCAAATTCAAATTTTCCTCAAAATATTGCATGGTCTCCTCATGAATTTCAGCTTTCTTTTTAGACTCAACTGGGTCATTTATACCAATAACGTCTAACTTCCACAAGTTTTCTGCTGATCTTTCGTTTAGCAATAAAGAAACACATGCAAGAGAATCATTTATACCCGAAGATTCCTTCGCTGGAATTTTACCCATTAAAATCCATCCCAAACTTGTTTCCATC